ATGTTGGGATTAGTCAGGCTCCACTTTCACGTCTCCAGCTCGTACAAAATGCGGCAGCTCGGCTACTAACAGGAACTCGCAGGTTTGAGCACATTACTCCGGTTCTGTCCTCTCTTCACTGGCTTCCTGTGCGTGTCAGAGTTGATTTTAAAATTCTCCTGCTGACATTCATGTGCATTAACGGCCTCGCACCATCATACCTCTCCGACCTTCTTCATCTTTATACTCCTTCTTAGGCTTTGAGATCATCAGACCAGCTGCTTTTGGCCGTACCAAAAACCAGGCTGAAGCTCAGAGGAGATCGAGCATTTTCAGTCGTGGGCCCTAAACTCTGGAACAATCTGCCCATCAACATTCGACAGGCCACCTCAGTCTCTGCTTTTAAATCTCTCCTAAAAACACATCTGTACTCACTGACATTTAACACAGGGTGATCGGATTTAGATTTAGTTTTTCATTGATGCTGATTCTGTTTATGCTTTTGTTATTATTCCTATTTAACACAAGGTCATCAGATCTGATTTAGTATTTCATCGTTTCTGACTGAGTTTATGCTTTTTGTTATTTCCTTGACTTTTGACACAATGTGATTTGATTTAGTATCTCATTGTTTCTAATTGTTTTTGCTTTTATATTTTTATTCCATGTGCTATAAATATATCTTGCTACTTTTTATTTGATGTTGTGATATTTTTGTTAAGCACTTTGGTAACAGTTTCTGTTTTAAATGTGCTTTATAAATAAATATGACTTGACTTGACTGCCTGCATGCAGTCGCAGTGTGAGATATTTATTATCAGTCACAAGTTCATGACTGCTGATTTTATTGTTATTAACCAGTACATCCTGAGGAGCTGTTGGTCTGCTCTGTTTATCGTTACACTGTTACAATTCGTGTCCTCCTTTGTTCCTATTCACAGCAGCAGGTCTGCTATCTCAGCCTTTTTACTCTCCAGAGATCTTCTCCAGTGCGCTCCTGCACATGGAGCGTGTAATTACGCTTACAGAAGGCTGAGTGATGAAATTTTTTTTGTGCAAGCAGGTGCTTCATGTTGTCTGAGTGGACCCAGTGAGGCATAGACTACATCCTGCTTCGCCTTTAACCCACTAGCGAAAGTCTTAAAGGGCTACGCCTATACTCATAGAAACTGGGGTTACAGTACGTAACCAACGTTTTGTGTTGTGTTTCCTTGACTGATGAAGCCTTCCGGATCGAAGGCCTAACGTTTCAGCACAAAAAAATAAACTGTCCAGATGACCTGACTGAAAAATGTTGGATTGTATACCTGGATAATTGAGCATGGACTTTGTTGTTTTCATACCACATAATTGTTTTGATTTCCTGTTTTCTCTCACCTCTTCCCTCTTCCTTCAAGGAGTGTAAACCAAATCTCATTAGATGGTATGAAAAGCATCCTGTTGGGAAACGCAGCAGCTCCTGCTGATGATGGCTACAGTTTGTCAGGAAGTGTCCCTGGAATAAGCATGGCCTCTAAAATTTAACCCATTTCCATGCAGTTCCCTGCTTATGCAAACTTGTTATATTCACTGATAATGTGCAGTCCTGATTTATACAGTTGAGGGTTATATATTAATCCTTGAAGTGCAAAAATGGTGATTCCTAAAAATGAAATACATGAGCTAATAGAAAAATAAAGCACTGCACTGCCTTTGATTTACGATTAGTGATTGAGGATAATGTGCTAAATGCAGCACTCGTGTTAATCAAGTTTGTTCCGCAGCCCTTGAAGTTACTCCATCTGTTACAGCATCAATGATCTGCTCACTCAAAGATGGCCTACGCAGGCCTCTGGTCTGTCTTTGATGCATCCACCCCTGCACTGAGGTTTGTTAAACAGCCAGAAAAGGCAATTTTTTAGCCTTTCATCTTTCCTTTTCCCCATTTAATTCTCAGCTGTCAGTATTTAATTAATGTTTTCAAAGCAATTTTTCTAATCTTCACTGCTGATGACAAAGATGCTGTGCTGCCTTTTATATTATGAAGTCGTTTCATGAAGCCAGCAAGACCTTCTAGTTTGTATTCCAAGCTGCGTCACACAAACCCGATGTGGCATTTGGGGAAACCATTACAGGGTGTCTTGCTTATGAAGACTGATGCTATCAGGCAGGATATTTAGGGCCATAAAATGGCAAGAATATGCAGACAAAAATACATTCAAGGTTTAAGCACTTGGTTGGTTTTAATTTTCATAAATCTTAAATACTCTTGGTAGTGTATAAGCTTTTCAATCAGTCTAAGGCCATCTTATGAACTGCAAAAATATTAAAAGACTTAAGAACACAGAGTTCACTTTAAGAAGAAATCAGCTGCCTGTAGCAACGATCACCCAAGGTGATTGTTACCCCTTCATGAATAAAGCATGAGTGTGTTGAGTCAAAGCAAATCAATATTGTATAAGTGAAAGAAACACAGTCAAATGAAGGGTACATATGTCTCTGAGTTTATTCACGGAGAAGTGGATGATGAAACCTGTGGGTAACTGCTCCGTCCACACGAACGACTTTCATAAAATTAGGTTCATCCAGCACAACCATATCAGGTAAAGATTGAAAATCTTCTGAGCTGCCTTGGATGGGGGAGAAAAACATTGGCTTCTATTACTGCTCCTGTATTCAAAGTGGAGTGTCTCAGTTTCTTTTATCATTACAGCACATTCACAAGTTTCAAAATGGGGGGGAAAAGAAGTCAACAGCACAAACATTTTTTTCTATATTTTGTTGTTTCCCCCCCAGGAACCAATGCATAGGGTATACAGTCAGAATACAGTATTTCAACTTGTTTTACAAAGATTTATATGGTATAGGAAACAAGAAAAAATAAAACTGCACAGCAGTAAGAAAAGTCATTTGTCGAGTATAGATAGTCATTTATCGTACACACTATAGAATAGCTTAGAAACACAGGGCAGAAATTTTTCAACACCAGTGGAACAGTTTTGCTCAATATTCAATTGTACATCAAGACACCCTCTTAGTCTCAAGACTATTTTAAGAACGTTTTCATGTTCAAAAGAAACCCAAATCTAATCGGCCACTCTTTTACATTGATTTGTTTTGACGTTTTGCTTTAGCCACCAAAGTCCTAGTAAGCGCACACCAAAGACACCCAAAGGAAATGCACACATCAAACTGCAACCATAAACAAAATAAATGGTACTGAAATCTCTTCAGCCAACTGGCACACAAACGGCTGCAGCATCTAGCATTTTACACAGCACACAAGAGATCACAAGTCCAAATACATTGCTGTGTCTAGAGTACTATTATCATCTTACTCACCTAGGTTACCAACAGAATAAGTTAGAAACAATATCTGTAATATGCTATTCAATAAGGCACGTCTCTGGTTAAAGAAAGGCTCTGAAATAAGTTTCTTGCATCGACTTTGTCAGTGAGAATGGAGTCACCAGTAAACAACAGTGGAAACAAGGATGGAGTCTGCAGTCGGCATGCAATTAAGATCAAAAGCCTCCCCTGCTGATTCCATTATACAGAGTGCCACTCTGCATCGCACTGAGTGGGCAGTGCCAAACGCTGTTAGCCGGGACGCCCGAGAGCCGTGCTGAGACGGCAGCGGGCAGGCTGGAGGTCTGCGCAAACGTCACTCTCGCCAAGGCAGGAATCACTAACATTCTGGGGTCTTTGGAGCTCGCTGCTGTGTGTCATCATCCATGATCAGATACAAGTGAGGACAATTAAATCATCTGTCAACAGCAAGGCCTACAATTTAGGATTGGTGTTTAATGGCCTAAAGAATATCAAACTCTCATAGCAGCCCTGTCCACACTCTGACACTGACATGTCAATATTTCAGACACCCTCGATTTCAGACACCCTCGATGTTACGTACCCGACTGAACTCAACCTTCCTGACATCATAAAAAACAAAAAAGAAAAACTACAATAGTTTGCTCAGAACACATCACTCAGTACCTACTGCACTTGTTGCAGAATATTAACATCAGCATTAGGCTATTTAATAGCTCTAGAGGCAGAATTATTGATGATCAATCATTTGGAACATTTTAATAGTATGAGTAAGAGAAATGGTACAAAATAAATAAAAAACAAAGCAAAAATAAATTTGGAATAGTTTTTCCAACATATTGCTGAATTGCTACGATATGGTGAACACACTGAGAACAGAGATGTGGTTGTGTACTGTGGCTCATGAGATACTGACATTATTGCAGCACTAATATGAGTGACACGGCTCCATGGCAGAATGAAATTGGTTTTTGCTGAACTTACTTCAAGAAACACAAAGTTTGTTTTCTCAGTCATCCAGGTATATACTGACAAAGCCTCTTGGATGAGGGGCGAAACGTTTCTTTTTAACAAAAAAACGAAGTCCAGATGACATGATTCAACCTTTTTTGTTGTTACTTCAAGAAAGTGTTACAGCAAACAACAAAAAAAAAAAAGACAACTAAAAAAATCAGTCATTTTCTGAAATGTCTTAAAGATAATCTAAAATGTTTCTCTGTGCTTTAGGTTAAGTGGAATGTTTCATGGCACTGTACAATAAAGGGAGACAGACTGTGCTGTTACTGATTTCCACAAGCACAGATGGCAATCAAGCATCAAAAGCAGAGTTCAACTCAAACGTGTCTGAAACCACCTGTCATCCACATGAACCTGTGAGCTTCATCGTGTCCCTGCGAGGACCCTTTGGTCTCTGTCCGACCGCTCCGTGTGACAGCGCACGCTCTGGGCTCGGACCGAGTGGCGGGGAGTTTAAATGACAGAAAGCAGGCGTCCCATCGCCCTCGCGCCTGAAAGTAGGCATCCTGTGTGTGCACGCACATATCCACACATTAACACACTCGAGCACTCATGTTTAAGCTCACACGTAGAACTCCACGCACGCACACACACGCACGCACGCACGCACGCACGCACGCACACACAAACAGGCTAATAAAAACACAGTCCACACCACAAAGTGTTCCAATTAAAAAGATAGTTTTTCCTTATAAAGCTTTCTGAATAAAGACTGCACGATTAAAAAAAATATATAATACAACTCTTTAAACCTTTTTTGACACAGAGAAATTCAACATGTGATTATCTGTCAAACCAGTGCTTCACAGAGGGGCTTACTTCTCAGAGAGAGGTCTCATGCTGCACTGTGGAGCAGTGCGTGGTGAAGCATGAGAGAGGGTTCAGACAGTTGAGTTTTGGCAAGTGAGATTTAAGGCGTACCTATGACAGAACCACCCATCATTTCTTCCTGTGTGCATTTAGTTAGTCCCCGGTACTCACAGAACCAAAGCTACTTCAGGGCCAAGCCGTACAACATAGACACAAAAAGAGTCCCCTCTTAAATTTCTTATTTCCATCATTTATGCACAGAAAAGAAATAAGCCCCTGTAGTCACTGGCAATATCCCTCTTCTCCTTTGCTTCAGTGGGTTAGAGATCAGTCACTTTGTTTTCCAGGGCAGCTGCAATCTGCTGCAGCCGCAGGGTCAGCTGTTTACTCTGCGCAGCTGGATCCTCATCCAGAGAGGCGATGATCTGAAAGAGGGACCGAAGGAAAGTCGTTGAAGTGATCGACGAAGAAGTCGGAGACATCAACAAAAAAAGGAGGGAGGAGGAGGAATCAAATGAAGGACAAGAGAAGGGTAATGTTGGATTAATAAAAAAAAGAGAAGGAAGATGGATAGATGTGCAGGATGAAGTGAAAAAAGGTGAGAGGTGGGGGGAAAGTAGTGTTATTTGATATAAACTGTCATGGCATTTAGGTCGTTACTGTTGGAGACTGACAGCATCATTTGTTTATCCAAGTTGTTCATCTGGTTTCGTTTATTCCCCTTTTTGCGACCTCAAGTGGCAACACACAATGGACTTTAAAAAAAATCTATTCCCAGAGCAATTTTCCAAGTCACATCCCACAGAAATGCTTTCAATTAAAATTTCACACAACCTCTTCTCTGGCATATCAAGAGTGAAGGGGAGAAAAAAATGAAATATAGTGGGCAGCAGTGCATACAGTGGATAGCCTCCTTTGGGTGAAATAGAAAAGAGAAGCCTCTTACCCCATCATAGTATTTGCTGGCGTACTGGTAAAGCTGATGGAGAGCCACTTGTGTGTTCAGTTTGTCTGTGTGAGACTGAAACACATGAACAATTTAAAGGTTGAGGTTTGACTAAATGAAACTCACACACATTGAACACTGCTGAATTATCTACTACTACTTCAGGTATAAAAAATAATACTCTGCTTGTAGGGGCAAATGAAAAATGCATAAAAAACACAAGCTTATTTTCCCACAAAGGCTATGCATTATTATTTATTACCAACCTCTAAAGTTCAATTCAGTAAAGTATTATTGCCATTACTAGTAGTAGAAAAGCTTACGTTTTTGGTGAATATAATATAAAAATAATACAAATTTTAGAATGTCAAATTATTCAACTTGTTTTATTTCTAGCCAAGTGCTTTTACTACAGTTTACCATTTAATTGAGCTATGAAACTGGGTTTCTGGGGGGTTACGTCACTGTTATAATCATATACGTGTCAATCAAAATGCTACAGTACTAGACACTAACACAATGTCCACTTTCTCTTTTTTAATTTGTTTACTTCTCTGCTTTGAAAATAAAGACATATTCTACAGAGTACACTGTAAAGTGACATTAAAGCAGGGCTGATGAAAAGTGTACGCAACACTCCGTCTAGTGATGGTACACGTGTTAAAGTTTCACTGAATTATCTTGAGTGTATCAGAAGTTATGGCCCAGACAAGCAAATACCTTATATAACATTTGACCTTGAATTGTGACCTTGACCTTGGAGCTGGAGTGATGAAGCATATGTGACACCTTCTAGTGATGTGCATGTGTGTATGAAGTTTTATTAAATTATTTGTATAATATATTTTTATAATAATTATGTGAGCAGATGCTAAAAAGATTATCTGAAAACCAAAAATGCAGCTTTATTTTAAAAACAGTAGTGGCTCTTATAAATAAATATTGGGGGGGGGGGGGGGGGGGGGGCACATTCATTTTCTGAATCACTAAACACACAAATTTTTACAATTTGTGTTACATTTTCTGTGGAAAAGCATAAGATGTTGTTTTATTGTTTAAGTGATTGTTGTTCGCACAAAGTTGTCGCCTTTTTTCGCATCTATTATGTGTCACCGCTGATGAGTCGCGTTTGTTACAGAGGGAGGACTCACTGTGCATTTCTTTGCAATTTAACAAGATAACCACCTGAAAACAATTATTAGTTTGCTTGCCATTATAGCAAAGGTGTGTCTCAGGCATAACTTTTCCTTAAAACGGTCAAATCAGCTGCATTTCTCCTGGGTGGAGCAGCGAACTGCAGCTGATTTGACTGTTTGCTCCAGGAGTTCTGGAGCGAGACGAAGGTGGCTATGTATAGCAAGCCAAGTGTCTCATTAATAGCCACTTTTACTTATTAATGAGACACTTGGCTTGCCATATCAGTTGGGGCCCTCTAGTGACTGAAAATGGTAGTGTTCAATATCTCCATGTCAGAATGAATGAAATCGTCAGATCTCAGCTTAAAAATTGGGTAATAAATATGGGCAAAAATTATATTAGTCACTTTGGTGTGTAAGTCGCAAGACTTGCAAATTTATGCAAATACGTGCGACTTACAGTATAAGGTGAAAAATATGGTAATCAGAATATCTCCACAGTTGGACACAACAGGTTTCACTGTGCACTATTCCTGCATTTATAAGATCATGTGAGGTCCAGAGCTGGTAGTGATCTTATCAATGTGCTAAAATCAGCAGAACGTGTCCACAGGGCATAATATGCCCCAATGAGATGCTATCTGAGGTGCCTGTTCGGATCTCTGCCAACAGGAACATACAAGGACATGAGATAAATCCACTGACGAACACGGCTGTCACATGAACCGCCCTGTAACTGTAAAAAACTTGATCACTAAATAACATTTTATTTACAGTTGTCAAAATAGTTGAAAAACACACAGAATAAATCCATATTCTAAGGAATTCAGTAATTGACATTATATTTTAGGAGAAACTATTTTATGGGGTGAATGATTATTATTATTATTTATTTATTCATTTATTTTTGTGGGTGGAGCTTCTTCCCACCAGCCCTTGTGAACCAGCTGCACCCGTTAAAAAATAATTTCCTCTTTTGAACAACATGTGGTTAGGATGGTAAGTAGAAGAGTCAACACATGAGTCTGAGCTGAAACCTAAAGGATTGTAGCGTTAGGAGCAAGGTCAACCAAAAGGCAAAGGAAGTGACAGCTGCGTCTCTCACCCGTGACACTTCCGCCAAATGAGTGTTCATGTCCTGATCACTGACGGAGACCATCTGCCTGATGCCCTTGTAATAGCTGCACACAGACACACACAGGAGGAACAAGAGGTGGGAACCACTCCAATATGCAACAGCTACTTATATATATATATAAAAGATTTGGAGCTAAATATGTAAACAAATAAAAAGCTGACAGTACTTACTCATCCACCATCTTCTTATAGGTGGATATCTCCTTTGCATAGAGTAGTTTGTTACTAGGAGAGTCCTAAAAAAAATAAAAAAAAATAAAAATGACACTCAAGATTAAACAACCTCAATTATTTTTTGCCTCTCTGCCATTTATCTCTCATTCGGTCAAAATCTTCATAGCTCCTCTCAATATCTCTCCTCCACCTTCACCCCATTCCTCCAGTTTTATCTCCTCTTCCTCTGCCTTTCATTTGCTTTTACTCACCCGGCTGAGTTTGTGCTCGCTCTTGGTGCAAGCATCCATGAAGGTCTGGGCGATGACGGACAGTGAAGCGTCCACCACTTCGGACACATGGACATCAAAGATGAAGTGGGGATTTTTAAGGATGTTGACCCAGAATCTCAAAGGAAGGCTGCATTGATTAAAATGGGGGACAACAAATCACAGTTATTATAGTCGTTACAGCTATAGAATGGGGAAAAATCTTGCCATTACATTAGTGAATTCATTCACGTCAGGGAAGCATTTCATGTGAAAAAGCACTTGCGTGAGGTGCAATTGAGTGCACTACACGGTAATAACAGGGATGGAGAAAAGCCTTTCTTGTAGGTGTCAGTTTATTCAGAACAATATTCTTTACTGTCAGTTTATATTAGTCTTTCATCTCAGGCTGACCTTTGTGGGAATCAGTGCTGCTCAAATAAAATAAAATAAAAGAAAACCTTTAGGATTTTTTGGCACAGAATGACAGGCGATGATGCTTGTCTACAGTAACAAAGAAAGAATAAAACTACTAGACTACAGGCAAAACGTTGACCTTTTAGGTTCATGTACAACAACATAAAGAAAGAGCTACATAATGTAACGCTTGAGTTCCTGTACCAATTTCCCTCCTGAACAGGAAATAATGCTTCACACGCGTCTTTCCAACCTCACATCAGCTTGAGAATTCATGAGTATGAAAAAATCCTGCAGTTTCTGAAAAAAATTATTCTCCTTGAGTGCTGTGAACATCCCACCATCTGGGACAGGAAACACACACTGTGCAAAATTCAGACTGGTTTGGTAATATCTTTTGGGAAGTCGGCAGTGAGAATACAATGGAAGCATAAAAATACCTATTTTGATACAATCACAGAATTAATTTAGCAGGGGACGTAATTACCATGTTTGTTTGTTCTTATGCTTCATACACATTCATATTTTAAACATGGTCCTCAGCTGATGTGATAAACAGACGGATGGATGCAGAACGTGGTGTGGAGTATAGTAAGTAATTAAAATCGCTCATCTCCTGTCCTTGTGTGCTTGCTCTCTTGCCAGTGTTGCGTCAATCACCGGCATCTACATGCAACACGTAGTCTTCTATGCTTGCGCCTCAGCCGACGTGACACTAATTTATGCACTTAAATGCCACATGGGAGCACAGAGATTGCAAATGCAAACTAAGTAAGCTGAATTTGTGCATTTGTATTCAGCTCTTTCTTGGATAAGTTTTATTTCTTGGAGTTATTTTATCACAGCCAGCAGAATTGTTGGATAAAAGGCAGTAAGCATTGGTGGACTAATTCACGGCACCTCATTTCTGACAAAACTCTGAGGATTTCTTTGGTAGAGGAAATTTTCTGTGTTGCTGGGTTGTTCTGACTGATGTTTGTCTTTATATGACCAACAACACAGTTCACAGTATCCAACTGTTTCCTTCTTGAAATATGTGCTGAAAGGAACACTGCTATTATGCCTTAGACATTTTGGAGAAGAGTGGAGCTTATCTCCACTTATTTGCAGATGATGTATTCGTGTTGGCGTCATCATGCCATGATCTCCAGCTCTCACTGGAGCAGTTTGCAGCCGAGTGTGAAGCAGCTGGGACGAGAATCAGCACCTCCAAATCTGAGGCCATGGTCCTCAGTCGGAAAAGGTTGGATTGTTGTCTTTGGGTCGAGGGTGAGGTTCTGCCTCAAGTGGAGGAGTATCTCAGGGTTTTGTTCATGAGTGAGGGAAGAATGGAGTGTGAGGGTGACAAACGGATTGGTGCAGCATCTGCAGTATTGCGGACTCTATGCCAGTCCGTTGTGGTGATGAGGAAGCTAAGCTGTAAGGCAAAGCTCTCTGTTTACTGGTCAGTCTATGTTCCTACCTTCACTTATAGTCATGAGCTCTGGTAAGGATGATCTCTGGGCGCCTCACTGGGGAGGTGCTTTGAGCATGTCCAACTGGGAGGAGACCCCCGAGAAGACCCAGGACAGGCTGGAGAGAATATGTCTCTCAGTTGGCCTGGGAACAACTTGGAGTCCTCCCAGAAGAGCTGGAAGAGGTGGTTGTGGAAAGAGATGTCTGGTCCTCCCTGCTCAAGCTGCTGAACCTGAGACCCGACTTAGGAACAACTGGAAGATATGGATGGTTGGATGGATGGATGGATGGAGCCTATCTGTCGACTAATCACTAGTTGATAAAAATTTGGATTGTGGATTAGGAAGATGCCAGACAGGTGTGGTACATCTGAGCTCCTGGGGGGTGGGGGGTGGGGGGGGGGGTGTGTGTGTACTAAGAACATTTGACCAAGCCCCAGTCAAACCAGTGGCGGACTAGGACACAGACTTTGAATGGGTTGTGCTCTGACCACTCATTGTTTGTGGCTCTACAAAGCTGCAACCATAAATATAAAATAATTAAATATAATGTTGTTGCTAACCATGAGGTAACCTCTAAAGCCAGTGGCAGACACCTGGTGTGAGTCTGACAGTTAAGCTGGCAGGTTCCTGCAGCCAAGCAGAACACGGCTTGTGCAGTTTCAATATCAAAATAAAAAATGATAATGTGGTTAGAATACAGGTACTTCACACAAATTGTCAAAAATGTCAGTCAGAATCGAAGTACATCACTAACACTGGGGAGGAGGTGTACCAGTATCCTTCATGTGTCCCGTGGGAAGTAATTCACTAGGTCGAGGTTGCCATGTGCAGATAGTTTCTGTACAACCAGAGTGAGAGCTTGGCTCACAGTGCTGGCAATAATACAGATCCATTTTAGTGGGTGTTGGACACTGCTGGGAATGCCTGATGTCACCAATTCTGTTCATGTTTTTTTTTATCCCTTTCATTATTTTTTATGAACACAATTTCTACATGAGTTGCATTTATGTTTTTTCAAGATGGTCCTGATGAATTTATGTAAAAAGATCTCCAGATGGCCCTGGAATGAATTTCAGCTGATTATGAAGCAAATGAAGTGACAGTTAGTTCCTCTAAGGTCAAACTCAATTTACTTGTGTTAATCCACCCCCTTACTACATGACAAGACATAAAAAAGTGAGTAGTATTTAACATGACAAGTTACCAAAGAAGCTCAGTGTCTGTTATCATGACAGAAACTTCTTAGCTCTGTTGCATGATGTCATGTGATCATTGTAGTCATCCTATTTGAAGTGTGCCCATAAACAAAGCTCCACTTGAATGGCCAGATACTTCCACGCTTCCCACCACAAAAAGAACAGGTACATTTATTTACTCTGGTGTGAAAGTGCAAAACATTAGGGTAGAGTTAAAGTGGGAGGAAAAAGAAGGACCTGAGATTCGTCCTAATCTATTGATTTGCATGTTTAGTGACAGTTTTGCTGGCAACATTCGAAGCACATCAACATCTTGGCTTTGCTTCCCATAAGCTATATTTTAAAAAGTCAGTTTTTCAGATGACGTACCTTTTGTGAAAATAAGGTAAAAAAGTGTTTTAATTCATGGTGTATTACTTTTCATTCCTTCATTGCTAAATTGATACATCTGTAAAAAATACAGTGTGACAATAACTCTGTAATGTTGCATTGGATTCTGACCTATTAGTCTTCCAGATATGGACGGTCTCCTCGTCCACACACTGTTTCAGCGCTTGCTCGTCCAGAAAGTCAAAGAAATATTTGACAGCTGGTGGGACCACTGCTCCAGAGCACAGCACACTGCGGAAAAAGTCGTCTACAAACTGCTGGAGTGTTCCCTGAAAATGTCCCAGACATGAATTAGACAGGGCAACGAAATAGAGGTAATCCAAAAATATAAACTATTACAAACTTATTCATAGTCAGCGGAGTATTTCATAAAGAAATTATTAACAACACCAAATCTGCAACAACTCTTTGGAAATACAAGAATAGGTCACCTAATTATAAAACTAATATCTCACCACAAAAACAGTTTAATGTTCAGACTACCTTGACAGAAAGTAGCCGTGTTAAATAGATCTCCGTAATGGCTTTGGTCATCGACTTGTCCTTTATACTTCCTCGTTTAGATTTGAGCTCATCCAGTTCGTATGCTGGCCTCACCAAGTGAAACACTTTATCATCATCCAACAGAGCATTTCCTGTTGGAGAGAACCAACACTCAACTTTCTTGTAATTATTCTGTGTTTTTTATTTATTTATGCACATCCTTACAAAACATTTTCAGATGATTAAAAATAGGAGGGAAATATGCCAGCTGAATTTGAAAGCAGAGAATAAACAAGTCTTCTGAAATGTATATTAAAAAGACGAGAACAAAGCATGCATAGGAGCATACAATTTCAGCACAATATAAAAGTGTGCAAAACAAAAAACAACATGCATTAGCATATTTAATTAGAGTGAAAATATTTTTGAAAAGCCCAAAGGAAACAAGACAAAAGCAATTGCACGTGCGCTGCGCTGCTCTGGGTGTAGCAGACGTGTTTGTGTTGAGAGCGCTGGGAAATACTCACGCTCTTCGTGATTTTCCTGGTTTTGATCATAGCTCTGCTGCGTATGTACGACCCGGGACAAAACTAATATGGCATTATCTCGCACCTGTAATAAAAAGAAGACTTGAGTTAGTAAAACTTGCCTAAAATCCCACAGAGATTAAGAAAAGTTTTCAATTTAATTGGAACTAATTCGTAATCTTGTCGCAACCATTATATGTGAAGGGGACATGTTCCCCCCCCCCCCCCCCCCCCCCACCCAGCCCAACTCGCTGACCCCCCCCGCCTCACCCGCCCGCCAACCACCCCACCCCCCCCCAACCCCCATAACGTCCTCTC